GGACCAGCCTAAGGCTTGACACTGGCTAGCTCTTCCTCAGACCCTTTAGGAGGACTTAGGTGAGGCTTAGGTTTGGGAGCGACTGCATGCCTGGGCCTCTTTCGAGGAATTCATCTCAGCCACAATAAGGTAATTCAAAATACCAACAATTGTGACTTTCTGAAAGAGCATTTCTAAGCTTTTTATCACAGGCTTTAGGGCAAAATTCTGGTCTTGTTAAAATCAGAAGGAATTTTGTCATTGATTTCTTTCATCAGGGTGGCAGTCTTTTTTTCCGTCATTGCAAATGAAACAGGCATTTCTGTTCGTGTTCGCTCCACTGCATTTCAAGTAAAACCCTAAGAAATTATGTTTGAATAGAAATAATAGCTGGAATCCCCAGTTTTAGTGCCTGTTCTTTGGATTTGGCCACAGACATGCAATGTTAGCAGCTGGAAACCATGTGCCATAAAATCCATATGACTTTTTTCTTAAAGATTTGCTGATGTTGTGCCGATGCCATGCACTGCCTTGCTGTGCGTTAGCTGCTGTTGTGCTGTTCGACAGAGAGCACAGTGCAGAACACATGCTAAGTGAAAGTGATAAGCAAAAATTGTAGAGGCATAACACATGACAGAAAGAAGAAGCTACTCAGGGCATGAGGAGGAGGAGGAGATGACATTAAAAGCAAAAGATGTGCCTTTTCTGAGAAAAAATGGGAGAATTGGGAAAGTGTAATGAATATTAAAAGGCTGAAGTCTGAAGATAGATTTTGACCGAGGTAAAGAGAATAGAAACTGGAAGGAAAAAGAGGAAGAAAAAAAAAAGAGTAGGTTTTCCCGTCTGCATTAGTCCCACTGCATTCCCAGAAGGAGCCAGTCGCTCCTCTGTGTGCCGAGGAGCTCTCTGGAGGGCTGACCCACGCCAGCCCCCTCGTCTCTGCCAGCGAGAGCGATGCATCCGGCGAAAGAGAGAGCAGCGGGAGCAGGATCTCTTATCTGACGTAATGCAGTGAGACACTCCTTAGCTGCTCTAGATTGTATCTGAGCTGGGCAGAGCAGTGTTAGGCATCTGCAACCAGTTTTTTGGAAGCTCTCATTCCCTTCCTCTGCCATGCCTCTAAGTTCATAGGGGAAAAGCCCTCCTACAATCTTTAGCTGGGTGGACTTCATTTTTTCTGCCATTTTATTTTGCAATGTTTAATTTTCCTTGGAGAGGTATCAGTCTGGAGTAACTGCATCCAACTAGGAGAATTCTCTTTTGCCATTGCCATTCCAGGATCCGTTTCCAGTAATGGAAAAAAGATGTAGAAAGTAGCCTGAATTGCCCCAGAATGGCTGTGCTCACTGCTGTAGGCAGCAGGTGTGCTTGTTTGTTGACCCGTTCTTTAAATGTTAACTTTTGTGCGGAGTTCCTAACAAAATCAGCTGGGGCCCATGTGTTCATCAGAGAAGGCTGAGGATGGTCTGAACATTTGGGCTGATACTGAATCATCTCAGGAAGCTTCCTCACAATCCTAATTATTATACACTTAGGAGTGGATATGGAGGCTATAGGAGAAAATACAATATTAAAATGTTTTTCAGGCATTCTTGAGTTGGCAGTTCTTAAATGTGAGTGCTTGAGCTTGTGGGAGGCAGCGTTCGCTTTGCGCTTGCTGAAGAAGTCTCTGCTTAAATCCATTTCTACCAAGCTAATGTGCTCTGTGTGTCATGAGTGGGGCAAAGAACAGCATCTTGGGCAAAAATCAACATGATAAATCAGCTTGACGACTGTCTCTGACCTTGAGTAAGTCCTGTGCTGTACGTACTAGTGCTCTAAGTCTAGCCCAGACCACAGCTGGTGTTAGTCAGCGTCGAGGAGCCAGCCCTCTCTAAAAAGGGGTTTCAAAATCTAATTAATTACTCCTCGTAGCAATGAGCCCATAAACATGAGGCACCTTCCTTAGCAGGTTGGGGCAAGTGCAGGTGCTCTGCAGGCCCTGGGAAGATGCGAAGCTCATGCTGGAGGGGAGCAGAATCTATATTTGGGGAAAAGGAAAGTGAAGTTTAAGGACAGGATTGATTTTCTGTACATTTACCAAAGATGTAGGTGTCACAGCTGGCCAAGACAGCCACTAATTCAATCGATATGAGATGACATCTCAGGGCAATCAGTCTCACGGAACTGAGACCTTTCTGCGGGATGCATTGACCCCATTGGGTCCCTCATTGGAACCTGCCTCTCTCCATGATAGTATAGAGAGGTGTGTCTAAGGACTTGAACCCTGACTTTTGGCCACCTAAGGTTAGGTGAAATCAATCCTGGCCAAAGAACAGCCAGTTTTTAACCACTTTTGTAAAGTCTAGTTGGTCATGATGTATCCTAGGGTGTTATCATATCTTTAGGCTCTGTTAAATTAAACCGAGTTACCATACACTCCATGTTTCTCTTTTCTCATTGAATGCGGCGCTTCCACAGGGTTGTAGGAATGAATAAGGAGCGGGTAATCCTTGGAGGACTTCATGTTGAACACAACCAACCTCTTCTGCTGGCTCTTCACTGTTGCTTCTCAAGATGAAGTTGGGCCATTGTGCAGCTAAAATCTCAGTCCCCTGTGCTTCCCTGTTTTGCTGGGTTTACACGTCAGCCCCACCCATGCCCCCTCCCCCTGCATGGGGCAGGATCAAAGCAGCAGGACTTTGAGCAATTTCCTATAATTAAACCAATGCAATTCTGTCCTAGCAAGGCACTGCACCCTAAGACAGATAATAGCTTCATAAAGAAGGAAGATATTTCTTGTCTCATTGTAAATTACATGTATCAGTTTGCTCCACTTCAAAAGCACCATCCCTATTTTCCTTAGGAATACCCCACCCATTTTTCTATTCCATCTCTTGGTGATGCTGTCTTATTTCAGTGGAATCAGAGTATTTCCTCCCCGAGTGTCTCATTAATAGCTGTATTTGCTTACAAGGGTGGTAGGTTTAATAGAGCCTCCCATTCAAATTCATTGTAAGAAGGGTTCCCCTTTATAGACAGCCAATTTGGGTGTCCCGCCTGCGTGAAATATGTGCGCTATAGAAGTTGGATTTGGACCATTGTTTGGTAGCAAAAGGCAGGAAATTAAAGAGGCGGCATTTCAGTAAAAGCGTGTGTGCTTTCTCTTTACCTGCTATTGTTGTAAATGGCACTGAAGACTGTTGCAAGCTTAAGAGCGGATTTTATGCAGAAAAGATTTGCTTTTTGTTTGTCAGTGAATGTATGTGCTACATTAGGCAGTGCTTTGTATTTAGTCGGCTTTACTGTGTAGTCTGTTTGGAAGAGAAATATAATTATAAAAATTGTAAAACCATAAATGTTTGCAGGAGATTAGAAGTCATTCAAGTTTGAAACCATTTTAATACATTTTTCAAAACTGTCTGTGTTTCAAGTTACTGTCTTTGGTTACTGCTACAGAGCCAGGTTATGTGTGCGTTGAACTGAGCATGAGTCCCTGAGGTTTGACTTAGTGTGATTTATGTTTAGATTACCATTAAAAGTAATGTCTCATGAATAGTAGACATTCAATCAGTTATTCTGAATTTCTTTTGTGAAAAATATTTACTGTCATCCTCTATAAAAGTAGCAGCATTTAATTACTTTAATACAAGTACTGAAGTAATTTTTTCTGTTTGTTTTCTTTTGGATGTAATTACAGAAATGTGGGAAATACTTTTCCAAGGCTTTTGAACTCAAAAGTGGAACAGAAGGAAGACACAGGGGGACATACACCGTTCAGTGTTATTTTCCTTGCACAGGGAAAAAAGATCATTATGAGATGAGCACTAAAGTCTCAAGTTTTCAAAGGTTTGCATAACAAACAAGAGACACATTGTGGGTTGCATCTTGACTTTGAAGGCTTGCCACTGTCAACTGAAATAAAATGGCGAGGTTTAAAGCCTTAACCAAGTTCACAAGGAAAATATTTGGACTAAAAGTTTTGGAAAGTTTTCTCTCTTTGAAGTAGTTTGTCATGTGTTACCAATGTGAACTTTATTGACCTTGAAACATTTTTTTTTTTTGAATCAAATAGCAACTAGTGACACTTTAGTAAAATCTTAAATCAACAACCATCTCCTGGCGGCTCCAGCTTCGTAGCAAATGCAGGCAAAACAGGGAATCTACAGAAGAGACCTTTATTATTCGTAAATGAAGCCTGCCAAAACCTTCCCGAAATAGCATTCAAAGACCCTTTTAAGGTCATGGATCCTGAACAAAGCCAGAAGAGCACAAAAAAGGCTGAGGAAAGTCCAAGAAAGAGGCTTCCCAAAGGAGAGGCTTTCCAAGCCAGTATTTCATCTGCAGCTACGTACCAGAGCAGCTCTGCTTCTTCGCAAGGAACCCCTCTCCGAGATATCATATCGCAGCAGCACTTTTCTGGTTCTCTGCCGATTCCAAGAGAGGAGTCTCAGGAGAAGGCTGGACATCAGAAGCAATCTAAGCCTTCCTCTTTCGAACATCCTCCCCACGTTTCGCAGCTTCAGCAGCACGCACTGTCACCAGCATTTATGTCTCCTGGGAAACCAGAGCATGTCCTTGAAGGTCCCACATGGCAGCTAGTTGATCCAGTAAGACCAGGTCCCTCTGGCTCCTTTTCATCACCCGGGCTTCACTCTCACCACGGCCAGCTCTTACCTTCCCATTCACCGATCATTCCTGGAGAGGACATGCCATCCGTTCAAAAGGTCTATATCCCTCGCCCTTCGCAGGTTTCCTTAAAACAAGCTGAGGAAGTGCACAAGAAGGAAAAGAAACCTCAGAAGCCAGGCAAATATATTTGCCAGTACTGCAGCAGGCCTTGTGCGAAGCCAAGTGTGCTCCAAAAACATATCAGGTCACACACGGGTGAGAGGCCATACCCTTGCATTCCATGTGGCTTTTCTTTTAAGACTAAGAGCAATTTGTATAAACATAGGAAATCTCATGCTCATCGAATAAAAGCTGGGCTGGCCTCAGGGATTGGAGCGGAGATGTATCCATCAAGCTTGGAAATGGAAAGGATGGGCGGGGAGGACTTCGAGGAGCCAACAGAAGGAGAAAGCACAGATTCAGAGGAGGAAACGGGTGCGATGTCGGGCCATTCGGTAGAGCTCTCACCCAGGCAGAAGCACACCCTGTTGTCCAGTAGTTTGCTGAGCGGAGGGAGCCAAGGTTCCAGCCATGACCGGTGTTCATTGTCTCAGTCTCTTGAGGACAGCAGCCAGTTTGTGGAGCCATCGTCAGACCATGCTCTGAGCCATAAATCTGAAGATACCCATACTATAAAGCAGAAGCTTGCACTCCGCTTAAGCGAACGGAAGAAGGTCATAGATGAGCAAGCTTTCCTGAGCCCCGGGAGCAAAGGGAGTACCGAGTCAGGCTACTTCTCAAGGTCAGAAAGTGCAGAGCAGCAGATCAGCCCACCAAATACTAATGCGAAATCTTATGCAGAAATTATTTTTGGGAAATGTGGTAGAATTGGGCAAAGGACTGCAGCATTAGCTGCAAACACAACCCAGGGGTTTCCGCACCTGTCTACCGAAGAGAAACCTAGTATGGTACCGTTATCTGTGCCTAGAACACAGGTTATTGAACACATCACTAAGCTAATTACAATTAATGAAGCTGTTGTAGATACCAGTGAAATAGATAGTGTTAAGCCTAGAAGAAGCTCTTTATCTAGACGTAGCAGCATTGAATCTCCAAAGTCTGGTGTATATAGAGAACCGTTTCAGTTTGACATCAAGTCTGGTTCCAGTAGCCAGTTGGATGCATCGAAAGTGTTGACATCCCACAGTGAAAAAATTAAGCCCGAACAATCATTATTGTCACTTCAGCAATCCCACAGTGCCACAGAGACAGTGCCTCTCCTAAGAAGCCACTCAATGCCTTCTGCTGCATGCACTATAAGCTCCCCACATACCTTTAGAGGTAGCTATTCATTTGATGATCACATCATGGAGCCTGAAGTCTTAAGCCGCAGTCAAGCGTTTTCTTCCCATCCTCGAATGCTAAAACGACAACCAGCTATTGAGCTACCTTTGGGAGTAGAATACGTCTCAGAGGAGGTTAGCTCTGCAAACAAAGAAACTGTTTCCAAACCTCCTGAGGAGCCTGAAACCAAGGAAAGCGATCTTACCAAAAAGTCAAGGAAGGGTCCGAAAGTTAAAGGGTTCATGTACGAGTGTAACATATGTGGTGCTCGGTATAAGAAAAGGGACAATTATGAAGCCCATAAGAAATATTACTGTTCAGAACTGCAGCTCTCAAAGCCTCGCTCTTCCACTTCCCATACCTCTTCAGAGACTGAGAAAAGCGTTGCAGATCCTGACACATGGCCACAGATGATGCATTACAAGCTAGGGAGCAGTTTGGAGCTCACCCCACTCCGAAAAAGACGAAAGGAAAAGAGTCTCGGTGATGATGAGGAGCCTCCAGCTTTCGAGTTGTCTGACACTCCCTCCTCCAGTACTGGGCCAGGGACTCAGTTCGCAAACCCGGCATCATCTGATGTCGCTTTAAACCTAGCCCGTGAATCCATTAAGTCACCAGCAGATCCGGGTAAATCCGCACCTTCTGATGTCAGTGCCAGCTTTCATTCCAGGAGTACCAAACCGGCTTCAAGTGTGGAGGGCAAAGAGAGAAGAACAACCTCAAAGGAGATCTCCGTCATCCAGCATACGAGCTCCTTTGAGAAGTCTGACTCTATCGAGCAGGTGAGCAGCTTGGAAGGAGAAGAGAAACCCTTGTCACAGTACTCCTCTCAGCCAACACCCCAGCACAGCCGACCGCCCCACTCCCTGCAGCCCAAGCTGGTACGCCAGCCCAACATCCAGGTCCCAGAGATTCTGGTCACGGAAGAGCCTGACAGACCAGAAACGGAGCCAGAGCCTCCTCCGAAAGAGCCAGAGAAAACAGAGGAATTTCAGTGGCCGCAGAGGAGCCAGACCCTTTCTCAGCTCCCTGCAGAGAAACTCCCACCAAAAAAGAAGAGGCTGCGGCTGGCAGAAATGGCTCAGTCCTCCGGAGAGTCCAGTTTTGAATCAGTCTCTCTCACCCGGAGCCCAAGTCAGGAAAGCAGCATATCCCATGGCTCCAGCCACTCTGTCTCTTTTGATCGGGAAGATCACAGCAAGTTGGAGTCGACCAGCCAGCCCTCTGAATCCCACCCAAAGCCTCCTGGCATTGGCTCGCATATGTTGATGGTACCAAGCCACCATCATCACTCCAGGGAAATGCGGAGATCTGCTTCTGAGCAGACACCGAATGTGTCACATCCTTCCCAGATGTCAGAGACCCGCAGTAAATCATTTGACTATGGGAGCTTGTCGTCCACTCCTGCTTCAACTCCCGGCCCCTCAGCCTCCTCGGCTCCACAGGAGAGAAGGAAATGCTTTCTCGTTAGGCAAGCATCCCTCACTAGACACCCAGAGCACGAGCCAGACTCGGCCCCAACAGGCCGGCTGGAGTCAGAGGATCCAATTCCTTCTTCAAGTAAATCTCCTTCAACAAGTTTGCCCCATCAGCCAACATCTTCATCCCCTTTGCCCTCTCATGGTACCTTCCCAAGTGAAAAGAGTCAGCCAAAAGACAGCCCTCAGCCAGCATATACCCAGCCATACACAGAAGCTCTGCAAGTGTTTCATCATCCCGTACCACAGCTAACGCTGCATGAAAAGCAGTTCATGTCCCCACAAGTTTCTATCTTCCCCTACCAGCATCTCCTGCCGCAGCCAGGGCAGTCTGCAGAGCTCTTCGCCACACACACGATGTCTGACATCCTCTCTGCTCAGTTCACCATGCCGCAGATTCCTCCTTCCATATTTCAGACCCCACCGCTGCCTCTCCCGCAAACGCTCATCCACCCGGGCCCGCTTCATATCGCTCCTCCCTTAATGTCTCACCCTGCCGAGGTGCCATTCAGGCAGCATCCTTCATTCCTGCCGGTGCATTATCCTGGCTCCTCACCAATCCCTTCAGCCTTTTTTCTGCCCCTTCAGTCTCAGTTTGCTCTCCAGTTGCCAGGTGAAGCTGGTGGACATTTACCACAGATCAAATCCAGTTTATTCCCAGCAGCAGGAACCTCCAGTCTTTCCCCGTGCACGGAATATGGCTCAGACAGTAGGTTGCATCCTTTGACCTGCACAACAAGTCCTTCCGTGTCCATATCCGCATCTCAGCTCGTCGTTCCTACGCGGTCAGACCCAATGGTGTCGCTTGTTGTCCCGGTTCGCATACAGACAAATATGCCGTCCTATGGGAGTGCGATGTACACAACGCTTTCCCAGATTCTGGTCACTCAATCCCAGTGCAGTTCCTCTTCTATCATTCTCCCCAAATTTGATGATCGCCAATCCAAGGGTGCCCTGGTCTGCAGCGCCGATGTTCATGGACTAGGCTTCGATCTGGCACAGATGATCACAGAGGATCAAAGAAGCATTTTCCAGAGCCCGTATCTGAGAGTGCCCTTACCCTTACCAGAGCGAAAAGGCTATATGCCACTCACCTCCCCATCAGACAGCGTCCTTGGACTGGAAGGAGGCCCTTCAACCGTTGGTGGGAGCAAACGGATGCTCTCTCCAGCTGGTAGTTTGGAGCTGACAATGGAAACACAACAGCAGAAGAGAGTGAAAGAGGAAGAGGTGTCTGAAGCAGAAGAGAAGTTGGAAGTGGTGAAGCCACCCAGTGCAATAGAAGAAGGGAATAAGCAGGATAAATCTCACTTTCTTGCAGAAAGCCAAGGCAGGGTCGAGGTTGAAACACCGCCTAGTTTGTCCTTAGAGCAGTCAGAGCCAAAGGAAATCCCAAGTACTTTGCAGCAAGCTGTGTCCCATTCAGGTTCTCCAAGTTTTGAGGCACTGGAAGAGTATAAGCAGCCAGCTGGTAAGCAGTTCCTCAGCAAGGCACCTTTGCAACCCGTGAAGAAAGAAGACTCCAAAGAATTGGTGGAGCAGTCTCCACCGAACCCTCCAAGCCCTGCACCTCTGTCTGAGGTCACTCACAGTGCAATGAAGTCTCGAGAAGGTACAGATACGAAGAAGGTACTTCAGTTCCCCAGTCTCCACACAACCACTAATGTCAGTTGGTGCTATTTAAACTACATAAAGCCAAATCATATCCAGCAAGTTGATCGACGGTCTTCAGTGTATGCCAGCTGGTGTATTAGCTTGTATAATCCTAACCTTCCAGGTATATCCACTAAAGCAGCCCTGTCCCTCCTGAGGTCCAAGCAGAAGGTGAGCAAGGAAACCTACACCATGGCTACGGCTCCACGTCCAGAGGCAGGCAGGCTTGTCCCGTCCAGCTCCAGGAAGCCAAAAATGACAGAGGTAATGCAATCCTATGTATTTCTCCTCATCCATTTGGATACATGGGAAGAGGGGGACGAGGGACGGGGAATTGCTATTCTTAGTTTAATAGGAGTTTATTCATCCCTCTGTCAGTTTGGTAAGCACTTGTTCTCAGTGAAACTTTTAGAATGAAGAAGCTAAAACCCACTGTAATTTAAAAAAAAAAAAAAAAGGCAAGGTGCCATATTTCTTTTCTCCCATTTCTACTTGCCTTGTAATCAAAAGAGCATGTAGGAATCACCACCGCACCATGAACTGCCACTGCTCAAGCACAAAGGATTAGACTTGATTTGCATTTGTCTTGATAGTTCAAATAGCTCTACAACTTTTTTTTTTTTTTAATAAATGCTGTTATAATTCCCTACATTTTGCATGTTAAAAATGAAAAAGGATTACCTCGGGGAAATGGGATTCTGTCTGGTTGTGCATCTACTGATCTTACATTAATGAACGTGGAGAGGCGTGCTTAAAAGTATTTAGAAATGTTAAAGGGAGATTTGCAAGTGTATTTAGGCCCCCAAAGAAGCATAAAGGCATGCAGTGACATTTATAAAAGTGCCTCAGTAGGTTAGACATGGAGTCTTGTTAAAACACCCGTGTCGTTTAGTCCATTTAGTTAATGTCCTTAGCTGTCTACCTGCTTTTCCAGGTATCTAAGGATATTTTATACCGGACTTTAGAGTTAAGGGGAGCAAGGCAAACGGCTTCACGGGGCAGAGCTCACCAGAGGCATTGGCCATATGGGCACAGAAGTCTTTCAGACACTTCTGGTAACTGCCTAGTATTTTGTATCTCATTTTGAGGCCAGACTTTTCCCCTCTTGGTTAATGCTGAACCATACAGATCCCTTTAATCCAGATCATGTTTGTGTAGATTAGCAAACAGAATTGCTCTAAAGATTTTGCAATTTGATATTCATCTCAAGTCAATTTATATTGATGGATTATTCATTTTATTTCTGTATCATGAAATGAACTCTGAATATTAAATTTATCATAATCACTGCTGCAGCTGCTGCTTATAAATATGTCTTAAAATACACAGTAGAGTCACTTTGATTCAATAAATCTTTATTTCTATTCAGCATTTCCATCATTCTTCTGCAGAAATCCAAAAGACAGAATTTCTAGGGACACAGAAGCAGATAATTACCTGTGCAGTGCAATAACCACACTAATGCTTGATATTTATGCACTCTTTTTCAAAGGATTTTATCTGAATGGTGTCATACCATCCTTGATTTCATTCTCCAATAGAAGTGCCTGTGCTCCTCTGAGCTTTGCTCTTTGACATGGTGCTAAAATGCACACGAAGCGTGTGTTCAGAAATACAAGACCCTCATACCCTGAAGTTAAAGGTTAAGCTCTAGACAGGAATGGTTCAGCCCTTAGTCATCAAAATACATATTTCACTGCATGCATTTGCTCAAAAGACTCAAAAACCTTTTAGTCAAAACCCTATAAGCTAACGGGTGGTGAAAGCTAAGGTTTTCATGGTGCAATTTGCAAAAGTAAGAGTTTGTCCTGCCAAATTCACCTAGACAATGGTGTAGCCTAGATCTAATATTAATACCTGCTGCTTAAAGGAGTGGCGTTTGCAGAAATTGTGTTAATTTCAATGGAAATAAATTGACATGCCAAGCAGAGAAATAATTTTTGATTAGGTGATCGGTGGGAGTGAAGTCCTCAGTTTAGTTTTTAAAATACATATGACTGGCATGGATCAGGAGGTAGCGCTGCTGGTTACTCAGGACGATGCGATTAACAGGAGCTGCGTAGCAGTAGCAGCAATCAGAGGTTGAAAGTTCAACCTTCAGTTAACTCTGCTCTTGCTATTTCCCTTAAGTATTTTCTTCTTTATGTGTCTATAAGTTGTCAGTCAACGAAACAGAAAATGCAAAACAGCTCTAATATTTTGTACAGTTATGCATGCAGCAAGCTACCAGCAAGCAGTAGTACTGTATATACTGTCTACGTACTTGGCTTGGTTTTTAAATTACCGGTGGGCTTGGTCTTTAAATTGCCAGTGGGATTTACTGAGCAGATCAATTCTGAAGTGACTGTAGGCTCCCGCATGCGTGCAGGGATGGCTAATTACGCTGTATCGGGCTTGCACACTTTGTACATTGAACAAGACTGTAAAAGGGGATAGCAGTGACTGTATGATTTTGGCTCTCTGGTGCCTTTCATCTGTCTATGTTTTGTGCTTTCAAAAGTTGCAATAAATAAACCTCATGCTACATCTAGAAAGTCAATTGTTTTGTATTCCTCAGTAAATAAGGAACTGAACTGGGAAGGTTATCACTAGCATTGTTACGAGCTTTAGCTCATTTCAGGAGGTGAAGTCGTAACGGCCAAGGTTTAATTTTTGAAGGTGCTCAGTGTCCCCTGCCACTGATTTCCTCCGAGCACAAACATCTCCATGCCCAGAGACACCAGCTCGAGACTGCTTCTGCTGTTAAATTGTTAAAATGGTTCCTGGCACAGTTCTGTCCTGGGCTGCTAGCCCTCTCCCAGGCAATTCCTGGGCGCATTTAGGGAGATAGGACAGGACAGGGACCATTCCCAGGAAGTGTATGTGGGTCTGATGGTGTGGACATGGGCTAATCTGTGCGAGCTGGCTCTGAGGGCAGAGAGCAGTCCCAGGTGCGTTTCATGCTCTAAGCTGAGCTCCTGAAATTACTGGGCAAATTTGAAACGTTTGACCTCAGTTTTGCAAAGCTGCTTTTTAGTGAGTCCATCCCTCCTCCTGCTGCAAATGTGATGGTCGTACCAGCAGCATGCTGCTGTGGAGGCTGGGTTACATCCCACTGAATTTTGCACGTCTCCGTTTGAGCTAGTCGCTCTTGGCTTCCCGTATAACCATGGGAGACAAAGAGGCACCTCTTGGGTGATTCATTTCCCCCTTAAGATAAGTGTCTAAGGTAGGGCAGATGAATCACCCTTGAGAAAAAAAAAGCTGTAAAGAGTCAGGGGTGACCCGCTCTGCTTTAGACTTCTGCCAGTTCATTGGCTATGTTCAGGCCAAAATCCCTCTAATAACCCTGGTCTCTCAAATGCCTTTTGTCTTTTTCCCATAAATTACATATAAAGTGAGGATATGGGTAATTCAGTTGAACTTCAAAGATATTCCTGCATTTCTGTGAAAAGTGACCTGGGTGAAAGGCGATCTGCTTTCCTCTTTTGGAGCTTTGGAGACCCCTGTTATTTGTACTGTCAGGTTGTACGGGGACCACATCCCAATATTTCATTCCGTGTGTGGGGAGCTGCCTTTACATCATACAGAGCTAGAGAGGCAGCTCTAATGTTGAGGTCCATGTACTACAACAAATAACATCAAACATGCTAGATGAGATGTCAGTGCATGACTTGAACCTGGGTCTAAACAAGGGGTGGCAAGTTTAACAGTGAAAAAAGCAAATTTCACCCTGGGAACATCTGGGGAGGTTGAGGATTGTTTTCTCCCGTTGGTTTTGTGGCTTTCTCTGTACTGCGCCCTTGGCAACAGGGTGTCGGTGAAAGGAAATCACCTGAGAGCTTTGACTGTCAAGTGATTTATATCAGGTTTAGATGGCTGAGGTCCAAATTTGTGTGAACGTGTGCGTATGAGGGGGACACCCAAGGGTTGAGGTTAAAGATATGAATTCTACAGATGTCTCCTCTCTAGGCCTTTGTGTGTATATATATTAGAGAGAGGATTATCCGAGGACGGAGCAGTGGATTTGGGAACAGAGATGCATGGCTCCACCACACGCTTAGAGTGACCCCAGCCAAGCCACTTCTTTTTATGCCTCGTTTTCCAGTTGTCACGAGCTGGATAATATTGAGCCACCATATGCAGGGGGTGATTTAAAAACTTGTAAGCGGTCACTGTAAATATATCATAACCAGCAGTGCTCAAAATCCAGAAGGAGAGGTCCTGTTTGTTAAGAGGATGTCCTAATTACTGCACTTAGCTGTCAGGAGCAGCATGTGCGGAAGGTTGCTGGCTCTTTCTGAGGCTGTTTGGACTGTGTCTGTCTTAGAGTGATTTTGTATGTAATCAATGATTGTTTTGCTCTTTTGGGGAGATAGGTTCATTTGCCTTCGCTCCTTTCTAATGAAGGTCGAAAAGATATAACTAGAGCTGAGAAGGAAGAGGATAAAAGAGGAAAATCAGAAGAAGAGGCTCTTGTAACCAAAAGAGGGGAGCCAGTCAGGATCAAGATCTTTGAAGGAGGGTAAGTGTCTCATTTTATTTCTCTCTTTGTGTCACATTGTGTAGGAGTTACTGATAACAATGACGGCAAGGCAGTGAAGGTGCCACGTAGAGGTGAGCGGGAGGCCGGATATAGTTGGATTTCAGCTTACTTTCCACAGCCTCTGTAAAAACCTGGCCCTTGAGATCAGCAGGTACTCCGGACTGCATTAACTTTCTTTTTCTGAGTTCAAGTTAGCCAGCACCTCGATCTCTTTTCTGAGCGGGTGGTTGTGGAAGACAGCTGAAGAGCGCAAACACGTCCTGTAGCTGTCTCTGATGTGACGAGGGTGTACTCCGTATCTTGTAAATCTTTCCAGAGCCTTCTCCTGAAAATGATGTTCCTCATGCTTGTTGCCATTATAGGGAGGATGTGGGGAGATCTTTTCTGATGCCTGGGTTTTGGGTGGGGGAGAAAAGAAAGACTGTATTTAAATGATGTTAATCCCACCCAACCAAAGTAGCTCAAACCAGAATGGATGCAAGATCTAAATTTGATGAGTATCTTAATTCTTGGCTCCAGGTAATTCAGACTACTCTTCAGTAATTCAGCACTGGTCTAATGCTGCTGTTTATCTTTTAAAAAATAAAAAATCAGCTAATAAGTAGCGTGTCTGTGGGATACAATTAAGGTTCATACTTCAAGATCATCCTTCCTGTGTGTTGCAGAGGGGGCTAAAGAGATGTAAGAAATCCCTAGCAGGATTCATCAGTTCTGCTCTTGCTATTGGGTGGTCTTGTTTTTTGTGTGTTAGAAAAAGGCTGTAATTAGTCAGTGGTTGTGGTTTTCTGCTGTTACTGGTTGAAGTTTGTTTTTATTTTAAAGTATTTCATTAGCAGATGATCAAACTAGCTAGCCAAAAGAGTAAAGTAGTGCTTTGGGAAAGGAAATGTGCTTGTTTGTTCAGGACAACTCACTTCTCACCCAGACATAGGCACTATGAGATAGATATGATGTTTAGATGTGTGTCGGTGGTGAGTGGTGAATGCAGAGAGCGAAAGTAGTGGCAACCTGTAATGGTTATGACCTGAAGTGATTTAGGGAGGGAGCCAGGGAATGGCAAGAAAGCCACAGACTGAGAAATATGATGGATTCAGTACGCTGCCATCACCCTCCTGTAGCAGATAGGACCCATGGAACCAACCGAGCGCTAGGTTTTATTGCCTTAAAGCCCACGAGAAGCCTCTGTTCCCCTCAACCGGGTTGTCCCGGAGCTGCGGCTGTTCCAGGGGGACTCTTGGACTCCTTCCTAGACCTGATTAAAGAGGCTCAGCGTTAATGCGAATGAAGATCACCCTGCCACTCGCAGAGCAGCTCTGTGGAGGTTTTTTGGGGAGAGACGCGGGGGTGCTCGGTGCCGGCTGCCCCCCACGGAACGAGCCGCGTCTCCACGTCCCTGCGCTCATGTGGGAAGGCTGTCTGCATCCCCAAGCCCAGCGCAACGGATGCAAGAGTCACATTTTCTAAATGACAGACAGAAAATAAAGCAACTTTTCCAACATATTCTGTGTAAGCCAGCATCAGGGAACGTATTAGTCATCCTGAACGTATGCTATGTTTTATTTTAAAGTTCCTGTAGCACTGACTTAAGGCAGCCGTCCTTCTGGATGTGAGACAGAATATAGTAGCTGTTTAATGCCAAGCACAAGCGCTAATGTAACACACCAGGTCGCAGAAATAAATTTTATATCTAAATTACATGGCATACGCACTGCTAAGAGGTCAGGCAGGACAGGCTGTTCTCCCGAGGTGCTCGGTGCATACCTGGTGGTCCGTGCCTAGTTCCCGCAAGGTTTCTGATGGCGAATCGTTCAGCCTCAGCAGCTTGTGTCTGCGAGGATATTTTCCTGCAGTGAAGGAACAAGCCTGCAGATGAATCCACAGGGTGCCTAGTGCTTTGTGCAAGATACTAAATGGATCAGACCCCTTTCCTGGCCATCTCTTGAAAATGTTTTGCAAAAAGTGCATCCATTCTCAAGACATTATTTCACCATCTTCTTTTTTTTCCCCCTAAAAAGTTCCTCCTTGTCTCATTTTTCCCCTTATTTATTGGTTTCACATGGTCTGCTGCTGGTTAGACCCATCCTTCCAGTGGGATGCAGCTGATTTCAACTCTTTTGGAGCCATCGCATGCTTTGTTGCCTCAACCGAGGAGGGAGATTATAAACAAATTCAAGCGTTCCCACGAAAGGTGAACTTGCTGCAACTCTTTTAGCTCCTTCTTCCCCTCAGTTTTTATTTCTTTAGAGCTCTTGCCTTTCTCACGGCCATTTTCAACACTTGCTTTTCCCTCTGTACAGTCTTCTGGCTTCCCCAGTCCCATAGCTGTCTTTCCCCCATTGCTATATTACTGCACTGCCAGGACCAGCTCTGCTACTTTCTCTGCTGCTGTCCAGCCTGCTGGCTAGAATCGTATTTCTTGGCTTTTAGAGAAGACCAGAAAAGCCAGATTTCATATTTTCATCGTACCCGCTGCCCATTTTTAAGGAACAAATCAATGAACCCGCTAGAGGTTCTCGGAGTGTGCAGGTCAGCTTGGCGTCCCTTGCAAAGGCGCTCTCATTTAAAGATGCCTCCTCCCTAGCTATGAAACTGGATGGTTGCTTTGCTTGTGTTTACCCACTGGGAAGTGTTTTGGAAACAGCAGCTTGCAGATTCCTTGAGCCTTGAGGTACATTCATACCTGGGTTTAGGATCAAGGCTCAGTAATGCCATGCATGAGTGTGCTCAGGCTCAGTTTCTTCCCTCATCGCTCTTTCCAGGAAGGATGTCAGTCAGCCCCCGTGGTGCCGTCTCAGGATGTGGATTAGCGGTCACTGGGGCTGTCAAGAGGACCTGAGTGGTGGAGGTGTTCAGCTCCCTTTGAGTTACCCAGCCATTTCAGCATCTACCTCCCTTGGCCTCCTGTGAAGAAGAGGACCTGTAGTCCCTTTGTATTGTGTCTCTGGTTTCTTGGGGACTACAGGAGGGACGTGCGTGGTTCTTCCTTGACTTTTCCACACTTAAGTGAGAATCCACAGAGTTTTCTGTTGGGCTTCTGTTTAAAGAACAGATTCCTCTTAGAGAGCAAATCTTAAGATCACTCCATATGTAATTTCAGCACTGGCTTTTTACTTGCAGTCCTGGAATTTCGTAAGACTGGATATTGCAACCATTGCAACCAGCATTTACTCCCTGCCCCATGAGCACACCCCATGCACTTGACTGCAAAGGAGGTGGGAGTCGTTTAACACCCCACGCACAGGCTGGATGCTGCACAGTCTCGTTAGGTTGTGTTGGGGAGAACCATGCCATTAAGCAACCAGGTCAATGTTTGTAATCCTGAAGGAGCTAATAAAAATATCCATTGGACTTGTCCTGGGGGATATTGTGGTGGTTTTGAGCAGTGAAAATGATCTTTGAAGGTCAAGCTGGCCAGCACTGCTTCAGAAGAAGTGCCGTGATTCCTTGGTGGCTCTGTGTCACCTTCATCAATCCACTCTGGTACTTTGGAGGCACCGGGCCCATTCTGAAATCTTACATCATGAAACTGTAGAATGGTATCGACCTGATTTGAGAGTGAGGTCTGTGATGGTATCATGGCCTTGTCAGGGAAATGTTGCCTGTTTACTGTGCATTAGCATTACCATGATGAAATCTGATAGTAGTGGGGTAGTTACAGTCAATATATGTTCTTCCATTTCACAGCCAAACTCTCTGTGCTTTTATGGGGCCCATCAGTTGGCTTATTGCGCTAGTTGATTGCAACTGGTAGGGAAACCAATACCAAGATGTAGAAGGTTAAAAACCACTAACTTTAACTGACATCACCAAGCCCGTGTCATGTAAAATGAAAACTACATCAAAAGGAAGGCTCTCTTTGGAAGACTGTTCCATTTTTTCCCCCTTTAGGGAAAAAAACTTATGGCTGCAACCCCATGGTTGCAGACCTGACTATCCTTGCATTCACACCTTAAAAAATACCTCCCCTTCACACCATCCCATGTGTACAAATCCACACATGAGCAAGAAGAACCCGTGGTGATGTAATGTAGTGTATCTTTTAAGAGAGATGCTCATAGTGCTGTTGTGACCCAGGCTGCTCTAGTCATCGGTTTGGTCTAACTCAGATATCCCAAATCCTTCACTCTTTGTCCTCACTGATAAATAACAAAGAGTTGCAGGTTCACCAGCCATGGGATCTTCTGAACTGGGGTCCTGAACCCCCACCTTAAATCACTGCTCCCTTGAGCCTGGGTGAAGCCCCTTCTGCCTAGTACAGTACAAATAAGTGGGGGATTGTATGAGGTTTGACCATTGCATTCCCTAGGGAGCCCCAGGGCTGCAGGGGTGGAGGCTGCTGCCTTGCACTGCCCTTTGTCTCCATGCTGCAGGGCTGCTTATGGGACTTTAGGCAGGCAGGAAGACGGTGGAGCTGTACATCTGCCTCAGCCTGTCTAGTGAGAGACTTTCCCCTGGGTTGAAGGAAAATGGAGAAGCCTTGGGACTGTTTTATCACTCGAACATGACTGCTAATTAGGAGATGTATAAGGAAAACAAAAAAAAAACCTTTGGGGGACCCATTAGCTCTATGCAAGCCTCCCTTCCCCCAGCTCGCTTCCCAGTTCCTGCCGTTGTGGACTCGCTGGGATCTGTGGTCGGCTTCTCCCGGGTGATCTCACTCCATTTCTATGACCGGCCACAGAAACTGCAGCTCCCACCACCCGCTGACACACACCTAATGGAAAATCCCTGGCACAGCAATGCGAGAGTTTTATTACCCTGGAGAAAACCTCTCTGTTAAGCAAAGTTTCTCAGCGTGTAACTCCAAACCCCTGCACTGGACCCGGTTCGTTCAGGGGATTTCCTTTGCTGCTTAGATAAATTCTAAGAATTCACCACGTTTATTTTGAAAGGAGTCCTTTATCCCAAAGACACTATCTTGAGCGCGCGCGCGTTAGCAGCAAAGGAGGAATCTCAGGCAAGCTCGTGTCTGTAGCACA